CCCCCCCCCCCCCCCCCCCCCCCCCTCCTAACTCTCCATCTCTCTCGTCGCTTCCCTGTTGTAGTTCAATAGGCAAGGGCAACGTGCGCTCCGCACAAGACTACAGGCGGCAGTGTGGAGCGATCGTGCTTGACGCGGGGATGGAAACAGCACGGTCGTGTTCAAGTACACGCACACGAAACTAATGCTTATTTCGAACCTCACCCATATCTGCGGAGAATGCCTCCCACGCAAGAGTGTGTGTCTTGTCTTCTGCTCGTCGCTGCATACGAGGGAGATCAAGGCACAGCAGGGAGGGAAAGGAGAGGGCATCCGAGCGTAAACGTAAATAACTGGACGAGCAACTTGATCGAGCATCATTCGTTCATCGAAAAAGCGCATACGCTTGCATGCGACAATAGTAGTAGGATCCGGAGCCCGAGCAGCATCAAATTCCTGCCTGTCACAAGAAAGCAACACAGCAAGCAGTCTAGGTAGGTATGTCTTATAGCACACGATGTCATGTTCGGAAGACACGTAAATTCCTCCGCGTTTTTGAATTCGCCTGCTGCCTCATAACGCGGCGACAGCGACGCCAGCACTCACCCCTCCACCCCACGACTGCGCTAGTCCCACCCATGAAGCAACGATGAAGATCACGAGGGCGCTATGTCTTGTCTTCATCCTTCGCAGGCGCACAAACACACAACGCTGCTTCAGCTCTTTGCTGCGTGGTCGTTCGCTGCCTGCTCACGCGAGCTGACACGGGCGCGGGGGGGTACGAGCAGTCGCCGGAGCCCCCCGCAAGAGCTTGCCCCCGACGCGGTGCTGCTCACCCACCACCCCGCTGAACATCACCATCGCCCCGACAGCAACACCACGCCGCTGCTACCTGACGAAACTCGCCGCTGCACTCTGCACGCTATCGAACCCACCATTATTCTCCAGGCGAGCACCGGCATGGGCGGGGCACAGAGCTCGGAATCCACGGGCACGCCTTTTGTCCCAACCAAGATCCTGAGCGTCAAGGTGACTTTCGTGACTCTCAGAAAAACGCGCTTGACAACAGCAGATGCACCCTTCTCGCTCGCCCGCTCTCTTGGCCGTGCCACCACGTGCTGCTGCTGCTCCCGCCACAAGGATCGTGTACGAAGTCCACCCCAGTGGCTCTCATCGTTGGCTCTCATGCATGATCCCGCTAATAGAGCACACCAGCAGCGACACTTCTGAAGCCGAACATTTTTTTTTGTTCCCAGACCCTCTCCTGTGTTCAATTCAAGTACGTACACCTCATGACACATCGCACGTCCCTCCTGTTGGGAATGCGGTGAACAACATGTTGATGGTCGTCGTTTTCCACACGCTGCAGTAAAAAATGGAGAGGAAGGTGCCGGACACAATTCACCCCTCTTCCGTGTATGCCCTCGAGAGAAGGCACGCCGACCTCCACGTGAGGAGTTGACTCGAGCACGCAGCTTGTAGCTGACTTCGTGGACTGCGGCTTCGCCCATGCGCGAGTTCAACCCCTTCAAACCAGCTCTCTTTCTCCGTCCTTTACAAATAGTACAATAGCACATTCCAGTCCCCTCAGCAGCAGTTAGTGTTGAACCCTTTCACCCGCCTGGGTGGCTTGAGACCAGTCACGGCACAGAACTGCTTCGCGCACAAATCGCTGCCGTGCAGTCTTTTCTTCATGTTGTTGAACACGAGAGCGCAATCGAGAGTCAGCAATGGGTTGACTTCTCATCGCGTTTTTACTGTTTTCTTGCTTCCGAGCGCCTCGGTCGGTATTCTAAACACCGAAGTTATCTCCACTTTGGTGAAGCCAGAAAGGGTCAAGTAGAATCAAGTAGAAGGGTCGAAATTCCCTCTACCCGACGGACCCTACTTTTTGGTCTCTACAGCCAGTACTAGTTTGTGCATGCCGTCAGGGTTCACTCCCTGCAAATGTACTAATGTATGTAGTCTGCAATACAGGGGGCCGCCTGATGTGTGGTATTGTCGTACCGTGTTTGCTGTAGGACAGACGGTCAGTTCCAGCCCCCACCCGCAAACTGCCGTCTCTGCATTTGTCTCTGTCCGGAGCACGCTTGGCCTCGACGAGATTTTATGTTGGCATGGGTTGAATACAATAGGGTTCTTCTTCGGCCTCTACCTGTGGTACAAAAAATACCACTGTTTTTCTTTTTTGTTGTTAATAAACCAACAAAGCCGAACCCAAGGGGATTGCTGTTCCCCGTGGGATAACCAACGCGTCCAAGAGCCTAACCTACGAGGATTGCGGAGACACTGCTATCACATCTTGGTGGTGCCATCTGGGTTTCACGACTCTTTCTGTGCCGCGGTTTCACCTCCCTGCGCTAGTCACGGCGAGTGGAACCGAAGGATAAACCCCAAGTACTGTGTACAGAAGGCGTGCATGCTGACAGCCGTTCCGTGGTTTCTTTTGGACAACTTCTTCCGTGCACCCGCCATGACTAGCGCAGGCTGGTGAAGCCGCGATACATCGAGGTGTTAAGGCGCTGATGGCAAATACCGCTGTGGGAAACAGATGGAAAGGGAAACTGGCACACGCAGTTTCTAGTCGGTCTAATAATCTTGCGCGTCGTTTTTTTTTCAGAGATCTTTCATCTGCACGTGTACACATGTAGCAAGGCCTAGCTCACACTTGGCAGAAGCGTCCCGGGATAAACATATTCTGTTCTGAATTCTCATTGGTCAACGGGGCAACTATTCGCCCGCCTGCTGCAGATCACGCATTGCCTAGACATACTAGGAAATGTTACGCGTTGAGAACAGAGCTACGCGGTTTTCCCTGCTGAGTTGTACGCGTGTCGTGCCGGAACGCGTTATTTTTGCGTCTGAGTGTGTCTGCCGCGATCTGATCTGAATGCCCCAAACGCGTTTCCAATCTGTAACTGCCCACGTATTCGGTCCCCACGATGACTGGGCTGCACTCGGCGCAGGACACCATCCTCGTGGACATGATGAACGGGCCAGATAACAGCAAGGTGGTTAGCTACTGCGTCACCGATCCCGATGTGAGTTTCGGCGGACCGCCTTCGCGAGGAATTTGATGAAATGGAGAGGGGGGCTTCGTATCCCTAAACCTAACCCTTCTAAACCTAACCCTAACCGCGTACCCCCTTCTAAAGCCAGGCTTTAATTCCTTGTGAAGGCTGCTGGTTGCCGCCTAGAGAAGATTTCATAGCTCGATATATCCACAAGCCAAGGGTTGCCACTGCCGAAAAGGGGATGGTCTTGGGAAATATCTCGTTGAGTGATTACCTTAGTTCGACCCGTCAGCCGGTTTTCGTTCCCGCTGGGTTGTGGAGCGATAGTCGGTAGAGGACGGGGGGTGCGATTATTCGCCAACGTATGGCGCGCCTTGGCGAAGATATAGGACACGCTCCTTTGGGATGTGCAGGGGATGCTGGAATTTCCCTACCATGTGTAATGCATAGGCGTGTGTCCACCTGATCGTTTTGTCCGGCCTCCTTGCTTGTTTCCCGTACCCCGTTGGACTGAGCAGTTGGAGGACAACCCAATCATTTTCTGCAGCGACGGTTTCGCGGAGTTCACGGGCTATGCAAAGGAGGAGGTCGAGGGAAGAAAGTGAGTCAGAGGCTTGCTTTTTCCAGGAGTGTTGCAGGGATGAAGCCAACGGTAGGCAGGGGTACGGGAGGGTGTGCGTGCTTATCACCAGGCGTTGCCGTCACGAATTTCGATCGACCTTTTGCTCGCTTCCTTGCGAAGCCCCCCGGGGGGGGGGTTGTGCATCTGCTGGCGGAGTATGGGTGTCATGCGCACCACTCTATGTATGAGGGAAAGAGGGTTGTGGTGGGGGCCCCGGTTTAGCGACCCCTAGTGTCGCGACGAAATCTGGCCGCTATTCAGGGCAGATCGCTAAACCGAACTACACAAGTAACAATTATATAGCAGTTGTACTACCGGGCTGCGGCGGTGCCACGTGATTTTGTGGTCGCTTAACAGGGCATTTCGCTAAAACAGGGGTGTTCGCTAAAACAGGGGGTCGCTAAACCGACTCCCACTGTACATCATTTGGTGCGATATTGTACACCAGTGATGAAATACATGATGCTTGGGATGAATCAAAGCGGAAGGGGGAGAGAAAACGTTTTGTATGACCCGGGTTTTCCGGAGTGATTAAAGGAGGAAATCAGTCGGCGTGACCTACGGATGTGAGACAGTGGCTCAGGAAAGAAGGCATGCAGGCAGCCAGGCGACAGGAAAGGAGCTAGTGAGGCATTCGTGTGTGGTCCTTGTAGGTGGGGCGAGAGCGGTGGACGGGGAGGAGCGAGGCGACGCTGTTCGAAACGCAGATGCTGTTCGCCACTTTGTCTGCAGTTGTTGCTGGTTTGAGAGGCGGCGTGGATAAGAGGTGCTCCCGTCCAGTCAAATGTCGACGCACGTGGCTGGCCTCTTGATCGGTTTGCTATGCTGCTTCTCTTGTGGTTCTGACTCTCTCGTATGCCTCCTATTGGAAGCGTACGAGAACGGGCAGCCTCTAACGCTGGTTCACCTACCAATCCCTCCCGCGTCACCCGCCCCCGCCCCCGCACCGCCTCCATCTTGCACGTTGACTCGTGCTTGTCGACGAACAAAAAACGAATGACGGAAAAATCTCCTGATTCGTGTTTGGCGTCTCGGGTGGACTCGGCTTCCAGCTGCCGCTTCCTACAGGGGGCAAAGGTACGTGAGGTGCAGAGCAAGATGCGCTTGTTACCGACTCCAATGTCGTGTTCGTTGTGGTGGTGAAAGGATTTTTTTTTTTTGTCTCGAAAGGTGTTCCCCTTTCAGGGTTTAGTTGGCCTGTGACCGCAGAAGGCACACCCTGGTCAGTTGGACCAGTACGGATACTAGAAGGTACTGAGCGGAGACCGGAACAATACAATGTATCTTGTTGCCAACGTTCACCACTGTACAGCCTTGCGCGTTTTCGGCAGAAGAGGGACATACGGACAACCCGGCAATTATTTTCGCGTAGGGGTCTGCTCTGGCGCACATGGGTTCACGGTATTTCTCGAGACGGGTTAAGGGGTGGTATTCGTTGTTTGGTCGTCCACAAACAGCTGAGTGGGGCGACAAGTGAATGCCCACCGACGCATGAGATGCCCGCCCGCGACGAGGATGTATCGAAGCGTAAGGGGGTGTGGCGGTGTTTGGCGCGGCGATGATGAACCTACAGAATGAATTTACAACGAAACGACAAGGTTCTACACTGGGTCTCACGATATACTTGGGTCGAGCGGCACGCGGAAGGTGTTTCCTCCGGGTCGTTCGGGCTGCAGACCGATTTGTT